TACGTGAATAGATGACGAAGGTAAAGGATACACCCAAACATAATAATCATGACATTGAAGTTACGTGCGGCATCATTTACCTCCGCCTCTAAACGTTGTGCTCAGTTTAAAGTGACATATCATCATTTCTCATTCGTGATTGGCCTTGTTAAGGTTGAAGTAGGATCGCAGGATGTAACTGGGTGGAGGTAACAAACGCTGACAAAAAGAGGATACGAAAAACAAAACATGTTTATGGCACTATTTACACATATTTACAGCAAAGAAAGGTTAGGGGTTTCACAAACCACGAGCGTGGTGGTTAAACCGTTACATGGTTCAGAGCGACGTCCAGCCCTCTGCGGCGTCGTTGTAAGCCCTGTCGGGCTCCTCCTCTCCGAGTGGAACACCAATCACGCACACACAACAGGTTAGGGGGACGAGCCTGCACAGTCCAGGTGAATGTCCAATATTGAGTCGTATACACTGCACTGCTAGGTGGCGCCAGCAGGGCTCTTTTTCGTCGTGTGTGAGCCGCTAGTCGAGAGTTCTCACGATCCTGACAGCGTATATAAAAGGGTCTGCCGCACAGCTCGCCTAATTTGCGGGGTGATTTGCGGGGGCCACCGCGGTCTCTTCCAGGAAGATGCTTTCTTTGTTGTCCACTCTCGTCGTGGCGTCGTGGCGACATGACGTCTCATCCTCCGGCTAGCAGGGACAATGTTTGGCGGGCATAGGCAGCCGGCCGGTTGTCTCTTTGATTGGGGATTAAAAGGAGCGCCGCTCTCCTGTCAGCTCTGGTGCCGGTCACAACAGCTTTCCCGTCGCCAGATGAATCACCGAGGCCGTCAGGCACCGCTGCCGCTTGAAGGGACGACAAAAGGGTCCGCATTTGAAAGACGGGAACTTGCCTTTGCTTGCCGCATTATCTGGGTAATTACTCATATCTTCGACAGCGTCTGGCAGACTGTGTGCCGAAGGGATTGAGAGCCTCCCCAGTGGACCGGCTTACGCACAATGGCGTCTGCCCAGAAGAATTTCCAGGTCAAACTTAACAGCCTGTCATCGATTTGCGCTATTAGTAAGATCTGCACTTTTTCTATAACGGCAGACTTTCGCGAAGGCGTAGCTCGGCGCACAAATGACCGCTTATTCTGGTGAGCTACACATAAAACTTCTGCTGTATTAGCAGCAGTGTCACGTGAAAGCTAGCAATCTCTCTGAAGGTGACCCAATTTTCCACAGCAAAAACACGCTCCTAATTTGTGGCTGAATATCATTCTAGCAAAAGGTTTGGCTTGGTGTCCCTGATTCAAATTTTTTGGTTCGGCACTGAAGTAACGACCCCGCCTACCGCTGCCTAGGCATTCCTCAAAATTACCGGCTACTTCTGCAATGTCCTTGGGATTTAACCAGTCTTTACTTCCTGCTGAGTGACCAGTGAGCGAAGATCACTTGTCATTAACTGCTTTAGCCTATCAGCTATTAGCAACTCCCGAAGACCTTCAAATGTGTCCATTTCTCTACTTCTAACGTAGTAAGCTAACATAGTTTCTAGGCGAGTCGTCACTTGGCTCCAAAACTTGTTTATTTTTCTTGATTTCCACGAACATTCGTCGGTACTCATTTGGAGTCATCCGCAGCTCCTTCAGTACTCTCGCCTTTAAATCTGCATAAGGTATTACCCCAGCTTCTGCCTGATTGGCATCAAACGAACGCATCTTACCAGTTAAGAATGGCAGCAGAAGCGTTCCCTGCATTTCTTCCGGTATGTTTATTGCCACAAAAAGAGCGTACATCATCTTGAACCAGGCGGGTATGATCGGCTCATTAGTGGGCATAGGTGCTAGGAATGCCTTAAGCTCTATCGCGTACTGTCCGATACTGCTCTGCTGGTTCCAGTTTTGCGGACCCTCTGACAAGGTGCGTGATAGCACCATCTTCTCTAGCTCAAGCTTGAGCTTTAACACTGCAATCTCAAGCATCAACTCACGGTTGCGATCTAATTTATTCACACTCTTACCTTTCATCACACTTCTCTCTGAATCCGCCATCTCTCAGAGTGTGCCTAAACAAAAAAGCATTCAGCAAGAAAAAAAATTGGGGCCCCGAAAGAGCACAATGCAGGCCTCACCTTGCAGTGATGCGTCGTCGGATGACCACTTTGGTGGGAACAACGTCCGTCTTATCGCCACCGCTGGTAGCGATGAATTCTTTGATGCTCCGGGTGCTCGATCGGTCCACCCCTGTCGTTGTCTGAAGTCGGTCGGGCCAACTGTCCCTGCTGATCAGCTCTACCAACGCGCAGCACTTTACGCTGCCCAACTTCTGCCTCCGAAGTCGATCAGCAGGCTCAGACCTAATGTCAATGCTGCTTTTGGCAGTACGCCATTAGGTCCCAAAGCAGTGAGCGTCTTGACGCTGCTCCTCGCAGCACACAAACAGCTCCCAAATTAGTGAGAAAGATGTTGGAGGTTCGGAATGGGCCCCCTCAATGACTCGAATGCTCGGTGCCAAAGCGAAGGAAGAGTTGTAGTATGGTGAAGAGACGCTTTATTGCAGCCTCAAGTGTACGCCTTAGTCCAAGCGCGAACGTCTACTCTCTGCATCATCCACATTAATTGCGCTACACACAACACGGCGCTAAAGGTTACCTCATACTAACTATGGTCAATAATGATCATAGCAACATTGACGTGGCTCTTACAGATAGTCTAACCATGTTCACGACAGTGTTATCTCCCCTGGGGCTGACGCATTAAATACCAAATGACAATTTCATAACATTTCCTGACCCCGCGGGCTCTATTTTTCGCCGACAACAGTACGCTGGGGCTATGAACCGCGAGGAAACACACCGGTTCTTTGGTTCACGGCCGCTCACTCAAAATTGGTAAAGCGCGCGGTGACAAATTCCTGGTTTTAAAATTCATTGTCGAAGTCGTGCTACCATAATCTTGATGCGAGCTTGTGGGCTCAAGCTAAACGTTTGTTGGAATCTGGTTATCCTTTGCGCCTGCTAACCACCGTCAACGAAAAAATAACAGGAAATGAAAGGGAAACGTCCGAGACAAGGCAGCCGGCACTAAGGCAGCCAAGGTTGCCATAGTGCCCTACATGCATGACATATTGCATAAATTGCGTAGGATAGCGAGAAAGGCTGGTGCGGTCGTAGTGTTTTCCTGCTCTCGAACGATTACGAGGAATCTGAAAAAAGGTTAATGCCGACAGTAGCGGTAAACGGGATTGTAAAACCAAGAACCGAGAAAAATTTGTGAATTGTTGTTGGGTATCGTCTATTGCACTCATTTATTTATTTATTTAACAATACTGCCGATCTCACAAGGATATCATAGCAGGGAGGACATACATATGATACAAAAAAGAAACACGAAGCAATCATTTCTAGCATGCAAAACAATAAGCAATCGATACATGATAAGCAGTAGTAGCAATGAGCAAGGTGAGGGTACAAATCCCTGCTAAACTACGAATTACAACAAATATAAAGACAAAATGTACAATGATGGAATCACGTTATCAATATACAGAGCCTGCATACGAATCACAAGGGGACAAAAAAAAGAAAAAGAACAACAATTTTCAGAAAAACTCCTCAGCGTGTACCTTTGCTTCTACCATATCTAAGAACACATTCAAGAATGAAGTGTTTGTAACAGAAGGGCTAGGTTGGTTCCAATTTTTTATGGTTTGCGGGAAATATGAATATTTAAAGCAGTTTGAATGAAAAGTGTAGTTATTAAGTGCTTGAGAGTGCCGGTAACGTGTTAACCTAGATCGACTGAAAGAGCTTAGTTTTGACGTGTCGATGTTTATGTCTCCATGAATTAACTGAAACAAAAACTTTAGTCTTGCTATTTTCGCCCGACTTTGTAGTGTTGACAGACCATGCAGCTTTGTGTAATAATTCTTTAAGAGAATCCGTTTGCCTATATTTATTATAAATGAACCTTACTGCCTTCCTCTGCACCCCTTCGATTCTTGCAATTAGTTCCTTTGTGTACAGAAACCAAACAATTATGGCGTATTCTAACATTAGTCTGACAAGCATCTTGTATGCCAGCAGCTTTGTATTTGGGGGTGCCAGATGAAGGCGTTTTCTGAAAAAATAAAGCCGCTTTAGTGCACTTGAGGTTATATTGTGTACATGGGTTTCCCATCGAAGATCGTGCGTTAAAGTGACGCCTAAATATTTATGTTCAAATATGCGTGTAAGCGGTGTGTCATTAGTAGTGTACGTGAAATCAGACATTGCTTTCTTTCTAGCTACAGTAAGCGTAACGGATTTCTCAACATTGAGACTCATTTGCCACACCTCACACCAAAAAAAGACAGACCAAGTGCATTATTCAGTACATGGTGATCATCAACGGAATTAATTTCACTGTGCAAGATACAATCATCAGCGAACTGGCGTTTCACTTTGATGCACTAGTTCTTGATGGTGTAGCTCTGCTTGACAAGTTTTCTTTTGTGTTGTGTTTTCATATTTGTTTCCTTTTTTGTATTACCCACCCCTGCCTAAGGCCTTATGTGTGAGGCTGGCAGTACTTCTGAAATAAAATAAAGGGACATTTCTCATTTCTTAAGTGACCCACCATGGTGGTCTAGTATACAAGGCACTGGGCCTCTCACACGCCGGTCACGTGATCGAATCCCAGCCACAGCGGCCGAATTTTAGTTGAAAGTGTAAATGCTTGATGTTTAAGTGCCTAGATTGAGGTGGATGCTTGAAACCCTACGTGGTCGAAATTTCCGCAGCCCTCCCCTAGGACGTCTCTCATCATCATGCAGTTGTTTTGGGAGGTTAAACCTCAATGAATATTTTTACATTTTTTAAATGTTTGTACTGAAAAAGAATAGAAGTTGCTCCTTTACCCTTTCAGTAGAGCCTTGAATGGGGATAGCTGAGCCTCCTCAACGTGTAGAACATGCATGACTGCGTGACGCCAGCTATCACAATCTTATGCATGCATGTCTACGCAATTGGTTACTCGCAGGCCTGGTGGCACCTCACAAGCAGCTGCATGGCGGAATCGAATTCGTCGACGTCATACCCCAGACCGAGACTGGAAAACCGCACCGACGCCAGCTCAGGGATGAATACCTCCAGCGGGAAGGGGCTAAAATCACACCGTGAAATGCGTTTTCAAGGCAAATATGGCTGAGCGAGCCACGCTATGGCCTGATAAGCTGCCCTTTCTTGACTTTAAATTTATGTACAACTTCAACTATGAGCTTTGCATTTCAGCGCTACTTATGTACTTCAACACTTCAATTTTGTACTTGACTTGTGTGGAAAAAAATTCATGTTCTTAGATGCCTCGCATCGATGTTTAGGGGGCAACAATTCGCATCAATGCCATTTGAGAATGCCATCGCAGGAGTTGAGACGTCTTTGTGGTGAGTGGATGCGCGAAGGTACAGGGTGTGGATGATGTTTCGCTTCAGCATGCCGTCGAATTACGTCACCAGATATTTGCGCAAAATTTTTAATTATCTGACCACTTTTGAATCAGACATTGATACTCCTGCTTCTCTAAAGGTGAAAACTTGAATGCAGACGATCTTGTCATACTCGCTGGAACTGTTGCACAAGCAACGTAATTGATAAATTTGAGAAGCATGCCGCCGCTTTGCCGTTTATGGTTTCATTTTCTTTCTGTAACGTGTCCATGTGTGGCGAGACATATTTATGTCATGGCTTTTGGGAATAAATGTTTGACCTCACAGTCAGCGTTCATCCTGGGCTGATTTTGTTTTTTCTTTCTCATTTATTGAGAAACAAACAAATGCTGCATGCAGGTACATGAAAACTTGTCAAGGGATAACGTCGAGATCCACAGAGCTTGCAGCACTATCTCTATCCGCGACGCTGTCCCTATGAAGTCGCCGCGGGAGACGACCGTTCGCTATAGCCGCCACACTTCAAAAAGCCGCTCTTGTCTCAAGCGGCGCCACCCAGCCTCACCACGAGGCGTTACTGCTGGCGCACCAACCTTGATGATGAGGAACTTGCATGCGAGCACTACGCCAACTACCGGTCGATGGTAGTTAAACCTAAATGCGTTCGTTCACGCCTTAAGGCGCAAACGACCGTAACAGGGAATGATAGCACCCCACCATCCCAAACCTTAATTCAAACCTTATTCTGGAAAAAATTGAGCTACATTGAGCTACAAATTTAGATAAAGGGGAGCTACACAAGCTCCAACAAAAGGTGAATACACATATTTCTAAACAATGTCAGTGCTACCCGACACCGCTGCTCGTTGACACCACTGCACTGTGCAACTCAATGACGTCACGTCTGTGTTTATATACCGCAACGTCACCGCAGCCGTCAGCGCAAGAAAGCGTCCGTTGCGCCGACGCGCATTCTGGTTCCAAACAGCACCCACGAGAGTGCCAGACTGCGGGCAGTTGTGAAAGTCCAATGCAGGTCCTTCCCTCATGTATCGATGGCATTCCTGGTGAGAGGCGCAGATGATGAGCAGAAAACAGTTAGGCGCAGGGTACGCGCCGGTACATCAATCCCGCAGCGCACACTCCAAAACACCCATTCAAACGGTGCAGTAAAGCAAAGGAAAGGGAGCTTCGGGCTTTTCGCCAACACGGCACAATAGTCAGTACTGTCAGAAAATACATCGGTAGTGATCAAGATGCCTAGCTCAAATAAAACAAAGGCTGTTTTTGCTAATTATTTTATCGCAAGACAAAATGAGGGAAGCTTAGAGAAAGCCTAGTTAAGCCAGTATATCACATCGTGATGGAGTTTGAATAAGCCAATTGAACGGTAGTCGATACCAGCGATATCGACTAACTATACTGACTAACATATGATAGGTATCTATTTATAGTGATATATACCTGTCAATTGCGATTAGGCAAGATTAATGAAGATTAGCTGATCACGCTCATCCGGTCTCAGAAGAAATGGCAGAGCCATGAGGTCGATTAGACCCCAGTAGACCCCATTCAATTGAGAATGACTAGCGAATCGGGTTGCTTCCCATGGTTGCGTTAGGACGCTCCAATTAACTTCGAATGAGCTGGAAAAAGGTTATCCGAATATCTAACCATGCAATTTGGAGTAAGTTTAGATTGCCTAGCCAGTTGAATGACAGAATAAGGCCATAATGAGGCAGTGTGTATTAAGCAAGAGGAAGCTTATTTTTATTAAGCGAATCACGAGCAATTATATCTGCAGCCACAGATTGTCTAGCCAGTTGAATACCGCAGCACCGTCACGTTAAGCCCATCCGAATTAAGCCATAATAACTGATTCCTAACTAGGTTACACTAATCTGATTTCTGTTTTATCGCTATTCATTTTTATTATTCATACCATCACCATGCCATGTTAATATTGGTAGTCAAGACGATTGAAAATCCCCCATTGAAGCGCCATAATATGGTCCTGTGTATCGTAGTACTCATGACATGGATGATATGATTCTATTGTTATGACCAGTCAGTTATGGAAGTTATGCCTACATGGCATATCAGTTTTAGTAGACACCAAACTAATAAAGTTGTTAGAGATCCATGAGTGGATGATGTATGTCATGACCTTCTTGAGAACGTAGCACACATGACATGGATGATATGATTTTCTTATTATGACCAGTCAGTTATAGAAGTTATGCCATCATGGCATGTCATTTTTAATAGACACCTAACTAATAAAGTGGCTGTTAGAGATCCATGAGTGGTTGATGTATGTCATGACCTACTTGAGATTCAGGCAAGTTTTTCAGGTTAACATCAGCTTTTGTTATGCCGTGCAAACTGTAGTGCTTAACAAGTTGAAAATTGGCCCCGTGTCTCCATGTTACACTGCAAATGTCATCGAAAGACGATAGTCTTGCGTCTGGACAGAGTCTAGGAAACGTTCATTTGATGTTCTGTGCAAGAAAATCGGTTAATGGTATTCTGGAGGCACTGCGTCAGAGTGCCTCGAGCGTGCAGCGGAGGCGAACAAGCGCATCAAGTCCCGTCACACGTCAGACATGAGTGTTATATGGCACTTATCTCGGATAATGAAGCGTGTGGCATGCGCGCCCGTCTCGGAGACGATAAGGCGTAGAACGCAAGGTGACGGGTAGGTGCCACCACCATGCCATCTTTGCAAAGCGTTGGAAACACTTGACTTTTTGTGGATGTGTCACATCATCAGAGCGGCGTGAAAAGCGCTACGGTTTTTAGAAATATTTATGTATGCCATTTTAGTAAAAGGCACACATACAAAATTTGACGTATTGTTGTGGTGCCTCAGATATGCGCCTTTTAAAACCATCTGAACCTTTTAAAACGACTTGTTGTATGCTTCCATGTATAGCATCACCCCTATTGGACAGCTATTTGTAACGGTACTCATGTCTTGCGAACAGAAGGGACTCAATTTTTCATTTTGAGTTTCTACGTATATCTTGGAATGGTTGATGAGAGTGTTTTTGTGGCACCAGAATTCTTGTCTATGATACTTGGCTGTGTTTATCACTCAGAAGATAGACAAGAGGAAATAATTCTCCATGCTTTGTTTTGTGTTTTTTCTGTCTGAAACCTTGAAAACAGCTTGTTTTACGCATTTATATACAGCATCATTCAATCTGAACAGCTAATGGCCACGGTACTCATATCTTGCAAACAAGAGTGGCTCGTGTTGTTGTTTTGAGCTTCCACGCATTGCTTTAAATGGTTTATCAGTGTTTTTGCCGGCACAAGCTTTCCTCTTTCTGATACTTGGCTGGGCTATCACAGAGAAGGTGCACAATAGCAAATAATTTTCCACGCTTTGTTCAGTGCACTTCCATCTGAACCTTTCAAAACGGCTTGCTGTACGCTTGCATGTATAGCATCATCCCCATTGGACAGCTATTTGTAACGGGAATAAACACAGCCAGGTATCACATACAAGAATTCTTGTGCCACAAAAACACTCTCATCCACCATTTCAAGCAATATGTGGAAACTCAAAATGAAAAGTTGTTAAACCCCACATATCAATCAATCAATCAATCAATCAAAATGAAAAGTTGAGTTTCTTTTGTTTGCAAGACATTAGAACTGTTACAAATAGGTTAAACAGGCCGTTTTTAAAGGTACAGATGGAAGCGTACAAAACAAAGTGTGGGGAAATATTTGCTATTGTGCAGCTTCTCTGTGATAGCGCAGCCAAGTATCATGAAGAGGAAAGCTTGTGCCACCAAACACACTGATAAACCATTTCAAGCAATGCGTGGAAGCTGAAAAAACAACTTGAGTCACTCTTGTTTGCACGACATGTGTATTGTTACCATTAGCTGTTCGAATGATGTGGTACATGAATGTGCATTGTTTGAAATGTGTTATCTGGCTCCCGGGCTGAGCCTCCAGAGAGTTTTGTTAATAAGGACAAAGCCGTTCGGTTTCCAAGAAACACACAAAAAGTTTAATTGAAAAGAAAAAAGGCAAAGATTCCTCACAAAACAAAACACTTAATAAACAGTTGACTGGACATGACGAAACACATCTGTAAACACCCAACAAAAACGTTCAAAGTCAGTAACTAAACCTAACGTTCGAAAGGGGCTGAGTGATGGGAGTAGCGCAAGAGTATCGGTGCAGTCTCACCCACAAGTTGGTTTTCGGCGGTGATGAGAAACCGGAACGCCGTGACTCCTGCGTCAATGCGTGGGCTGGACGAGGACGAGGGAACGCTGGCTGCTGGCGACACGTCGAAAAGCCCTACCAAATCGTGATGGTTTCGGCTTGAGAGCGTGGACACGTCGGAGACGGGAGAACGCAGGCTGGTGGCGACTGCGTCCGGGAACTAGGGTCGACCTAGTCAAGCAGCTGGGCGCACAGGCTCGGGCCCGTATTGTGTGCCACAAACTTGCGCATTTTCCGTTTGCACGTTTTTTGTTTTGTTCAAAGGCCTAGAACACGTCATTTGAAGACATCTTTCTCGTTTTATTGAGGGACGTAATCTTCCAATGCCATGCAAGCATTGTTTCAGATATTGTTGATGTAGTATAGCTGCAGAGAGAATTCATTCTCCAAAGAATTGAAGAGAAGTGTCTATTGTTAGCCTTGTTTATTTATTTGAAGAAGTTTTACACTTATAAAACAAAACCAAGAAATACTTTCTGTCAAGCTTGAATTTCCGTAATATGATGGCAATCGAGTCTTCAAACTTGTGAATTCTTGTGTGTTGCTTCGACATCAGTAGGTTAATGATAATTAGCACTCATGAGAAGCACTGAATCCAATGCCAGCCAGACGTCACATAGGAAAGCATACTGTGTTGTTTCTTGTTTAACTTATTATTAACAAGATTGTCAGTATCTATTACCCATTTTGCTTTGCACACCTATGCATGGACATCGCTAAGAGAAAAAAATGTAGTGGTTGTCCCCCTCAAGCCTCACTAGCAATTCCACGCACCCAAGCTACGGCAGTGCTTCCACTCCACACCAGCCATTTGCACCCCCTAAGAAAGAATCCTACCGATGGCCATGCACTTATGGCACCGATAATACAGTTGTGTGTGAGAGCTGATCTCTAGGCGTGTGCTCCTGGGTCATGCGGCTTCGCTGTCTGCGTCGGAGGCGTAACCAATAGATCGAAAACGAGAGAGTAAACGCGGAGTCTGTAGATATCAAGAGCGACTGCAGCCTCGTTTTCTTCCACAGTCACGCAAGCTGTCTCTCCACCCCTCGCTTTCGTTCCTTATGGACGAAGTTTGTGAGCATGCAGTGC